CAATGCCGTAAGAGTCTGTTCCAACGTTCTGAATACCCTTTATATTCTTCAACAAGGACGATTTTGTAATCTCACTTTCTTCCAAAGCTGATGTAGCCGATACGTAAAGTTTTGGATAATCCGAGGTCTTGAAATACTTATTGGACTTTGTTCTTTGAAAGTCAGAAGCCTCGGTGACTAACGCCTTGTCGTCGGAATCGTTCGTCTTTAAAGATCGTTTTTCAAAATCGTCGACAGGCTCAGGCAGGCTGTTTTTTGACTCGAAAGAAAGACGAATCTCAACTTCCTCTCCAGAGATTAACTTGTCATTTAGCTTAACGGGCTCTTTGGAATGTGAAACTTCAATACTATCATCGGATTCGGTATCTTCGTGAGAGATCGCTGAGTTCAACTCTTTCGAGTCATCGATCTTCAAATCCTCTGCATTACTTGGATCCGACTCATCCATTACTTTCGGTACGTTCGATCTCGGAACGCTTTTTTTTGTTGATTCGTGCCGCTTTTTTATAATGGTACGACCGCGTTTTAAGATATTGCTAGCGGGCTTGCGAGAACTTCCAGCAGTGCTGCCTGACATCCAAACGAAATTGAAAAAAAAAAAAGAAAAAAGCAAAATAACATGCATTGTATTAATCACTGTACTTCCTTGGTCCTTGGTCGTTTTCGTTAGAAACCGCCTCTAATGTTAAATATCAATCATCTGACCTAATATAGACTGATCGAATTTCGTTTCCCTACTGTATCGTGACAATCAAGTTTAAGTGTGATCGTTCTCTTTTCATGTTTTACAGTAGCAAAATAAAGGGTTCCGAGACAGTCTACTTACCTTTATTCAGCTTATCGAGCTGAGCTTCTAGCGCTCTCAGTTTGTCCCTCTGCGCTTTATTCTCCATCATGACCCGCTCCAGCTCGCTCTGAGCCTCCGTTTTAAAGTCGTTCGCGACGCGAACGGTCATCAGGAGGTCCGTCTGAAACTGTTCCCACTCGGTAGCTTGCTCTTGTCTCAACTTACGTTCCTCGGCCAACGAACGTTCCAATTCGTACTGACGCGTTTGAGCTTCGCGCTCCCTTCTCTGGGCCTCGTTCAACGCGGCCTTCAACTCTCTTTTATCTTCCAGGTGCCTCTGGCATTGAGCCTGCAACTCCGCTAGAGAATCTCTCACGAGTTGCAGTTCCGTACTCACGGATAACCTCTCGTCCTTCAGTTGGTTTAACCTGTATTCCAGATCGTCTATCGCCGACTTGGCGTTGTTACGCGCTACCTGTAAAATATTCAATTAATTCCTTGCTAATTACATTGGATTGCGGTAATTAAATATCTCCGTCATCTACAATTTTGTAAAGAAATTCACTGAAACAAAGTTCATTGTACCACTACACACGCTTGTTGAAGTAATGCAACTCTTTAAAGACTTTTTTTTTCTAAAGCTAATGGAGGTAATACTAAACGTACTTTATATTCCTCTTGAAGTTGCGAGTACTGATCTCTAAGGCGGTCGTGATCGCAATGCGAACGCGCCAGCTGTTCCTGCAAAGCCGCCGCTTGTGTCTCCAAAGTATCCTTCTCCCTTCTGGCAGCATCCAGAAGTTCATCTGCCTCGCTTTTGTTCTCCACCTGCCTCGACTGTTCTAATTCCTCGATCTTTGCTCGCGCATTCTCCAAGAGCGTAGCCAACCTACTGATCTCTATATTCCGATTTGCACCCTCCTGTCTGGCCTCCGCTAGTTCCACATCCAGTTGTTTCCGTTCGATACTCGCCGTTTCCACCGACGACTCCAGCAAATGCACACATTTTGTCAATCGCTCTGTTTCTGCAGCGCTCACCTCCGCGGCTGCTCGAAGATTCTTCACCTCGGACGTTAGCTCTTCTTGTTTCTGCAGCAAGGATTCTCGTTCTTCTTGTGCACTCTACAAGAAGTTGATATAATTAGTTCATTTAGCGTTAAAGTTATTACAGCTTGGTGATATGAAATTAAGGGTACTTACTTTCAAAAGATCTACTAGTTTCTGTTCCCTTTCTGTGTTATAACCTTTGGAAGACTCTTGAGGTTGCTCCTCCCTCAACAATAAACCTTGTAGCGTATCAACCTTGGAACGAGAGTCTTCCAGCTTCTCCGTTTGTCTGCAGAGCGACTCCAACAACACATCCTTCTCCTCTGTTAGTCTTTCATTGTCAGCTTGCAGTTCTGTAAGCTGCGCCTGTAAGCAAGAAGAACCGTATGAACTGTCATCTCACATCAACTAACAATTAACTGACTGCACGCACTTGTAGATCGCTTAGCTCCTGTATCGTCGCTTGCAACTCCTCATTCGTGGAGTAATGCGTCTCTTCCATCTGCAAGATTCTATCCTGTAGACATGCGACAGAGACTTCTGACACAGAGCTGGAAGAGTGCTTGTCCCAGTCAGGGGTAGTGCATTGTGCACTGTCCTGGGGCATACCGGTGATAGGCGTGGATCCTTCATCCTGGGGGATTGCTATCGACGCTGGTGCTGAATTGTGCAACCTCGACGC